AAATTGATGAAAATGATGATTTTCACAATATATTATGAAAAAATGGTGAAAATGTCAGATATGAACTTTTTGCACAATAATATTGAAAGATAATAACGCGTTGTTCTAATTATCCCTTTAATAAATTATGTGGATTCATTCGTAGTTTTTTAAAAATTTAAGGAATATAATTACAATTTTTTCTTTAATTTTATTTTTTTATTTAAATTTGAGGGTATATTTGTCATTTTACATTTTTTTATTGAGAAAATGACTTTTGCCATAATGAAAGATTAAAATGCCAAAAAATAAAAGATAATGACATTTTGCACAATAACATTGAAAGATATGAACATTTTATGCTAAATACCCAAAAGAACAATATTTCCTTTGAAGGTTCGTAGTATCTTCCATTGGTACGAGACGATATATAAATTGAAGTATATTCGACAAAAATTTCTCATCTAAACCTATGAACACCCATAACAAAAAATACCCAACCAGTTGGGCCTACCCATATGGGACAAGTTGCGTAGGGGCCATGTTTAAAAGGGAAAAAACCTCCTTACAAAAGTGATGAAAGGGAACTTTGAGCCCCATATCCATTGAATATTTATGAATAGCTATTAAGCCTGGAGAGGGGGGCTATCTATCGTTTGAAACTGTCCAGGATGTAATAACTCTATATCACTGGGAACATTAAAGTATATCATAATGTCAGCCAGGTTCCTATTTACAAAGATTGTTGAAAAGTTCTTGAAGCCTCAAAAGCATTCCCACCACCTCATTAAGGTCAGTTCACATATTAGAGGGTTCGCCTACCTCATTATATACCCCAACCCTAGGTCGAAAACTTCCTATTTTGTCAAAAAGTTTTGGGTTAATGCATATAGCAAAATGGGTAACATCCCTATAAGAGAGTACATCAATATACAAAACTTCTACGAAAGAAGGGGAGGTGCTAAAGGTATTACCTTTAGAATTAGAGCTCCTAGAATCATAATCTCCAAGATGCACTCTGAGAATCGGTTTAGGAAGACATTGCAAGAAAGATGTTGAGCAAGGATGATGAAATAATATGCACTTAGACAAAAAATTTCTTGAGAGAAATAGGGTGGCAAAGTAAAGAATGTCATTAGGAGTAATGACATATTTATAGGATTGCAGAACATAACATATTACAATTAAAGTCCTAGATTTAATA